ATGGCTGAACTCAAGACATATATTGACGAGAATTTAGTGAAGAATTTCATACGCCATTCAAAATCTCCAGCAGGAACTCCAATTCTATTCGTAAAAAAAAAAGATGGATCTTTACGAATGTGTGTTGATTATCGAGGACTCAACAAGATCACAATCAAGAACAGGTATCCATTACCTTTGATATCAGGACTCCTTGACCAGTTGAATCAAGCTAAGATCTATACAAAAATAGATCTAAGAGGAGCATATAATCTAGTACGGATCAAAGAAGGAGATGAATGGAAGACTTCGTTTCGAACCAAGTATGGACATTTCAAATATAATGTCATGCCCTTTGGACTCACGAATGCACCAGCTGCTTTTCAACATCTCATGAATGATGTATTTCGTGAATTCTTAGACAATTTTGTCGTCTGCTATCTAGACGATATCTTGATCTATTCTAAGAACGTCGAAGAACATGAAATACATGTTCGTCAAGTATTACAAAAACTTAGAGATGCAGGATTGTATGCCAAGATGGAAAAGTTTGTATTTCACACTACTCAAGTTAACTTTTTAGGATACATCATTTCAAATGATAGTCTCATGATGGATTCTAAGAAAGTCCAAACAATCATGGATTGGAAGATTCCAAGGACAGTAAGAGATGTCCAATGTTTCTTGGGATTTGCCAATTACTATCGGATCTTCATCAAAGATTTCTCATGAGTTGCAGCTCCACTTACACGCTTGACTAGTAAAGATAAATTCCAATGGAATCAAGAAGCGGAAGTAGTATTTGAAGCCTTGAAGACATTGTTTGTCTCTGCACCAGTCTTATATCGTGTTGACTTTTCCAAGGCATTTTTTATGGAAACAGATGCATCAGATTTTGCCTTGGGTGCAGTTTTATCACAAATGGGAACAGATGACAAACTTCATCCGATAGCTTTTCATTCAAGAAAATTCTCAGCAACCGAGATCAATTATGAGATCCACGATAAAAAACTTCTTGCGATCGTGGATTCCTTTCAAGAATGGCATCATTATCTAGAAGGCGCTTATAGTCCAGTCACTGTATATACAGATCACAAAAACCTCGAGTATTTCATATCAGCATGCGTGTTGAATCGTTGTCAAGCTCGTTGGAGTATGTCTTTGTCAAGATTCGAGTTCATTATCACTTATCGGCCAGGAAAACAACAAGGTTTGTCTGTTGCCCTATCTAGACGTTCTTATTTTGTACCAAAAGAAGGAGATGCAGCTTTTGAGCAACAAAGAACGGTCCTCTTGAAACCGGAGCAATTTCATCTCCGAGCAATGAAATCAACATTGACTGTTGATTCAACTTTTCTCAAGCAAATCCAGTCCAGTATGTCCTCAGACCCTCTTGTTTATGATATCGAGAATAATTCTTCCAAGTCTCATGATCATTCTAAATTCGAGTTCAAGAATAATCTATTATATTTTGAAGGACGCCTATATGTTCCAAAAGGAGAAGCACGTTTACGTGTTCTTCAAGCACGTCATGACTTTCCAATAGCAGGGCACTTTGGATATAATAAGACTTTGGAACTCATATCAAGAGATTTTTGGTGGCCACAAATGTGGAAGTCAGTCAAAGACTTTGTACAATCATGTGATATTTGTTCAAGATCAAAAATTCCTCGTCATCGACCTTACGGACTTCTTCAGCCATTACCTATACCAAAACAACCATGGTCTTCTGTTTCTATGGATTTCATCACAGATCTTCCAAGCTCAAGATCTTATGATTCTATATTTGTGATAGTAGATCGTTTCACCAAGATGGCACATTTTGTGCCATGTACAAAATCTATCACAGGTGAAGAAACAGCTAAGCTTTTCATTGATAATATCTATCGCTATCATGGATTACCTAAAGATATCATATCGGATAAGGGAACTCAATTTGTGTCAAGATTTTGGAGGACCCTTTTCAAGATTTTAAAAGTGGACATAAAGCTATCTTCGGCTTTCCATCCTCAAACTGATGGACAAACAGAGCGCGTAAACCAAGTCTTGGAGCAATATTTAAGGTGTACTATCAACTACCAACAAGATGATTGGACAACCCTTCTGCCATTGGCAGAGTTTGCTTATAATAATACGGTACATTCTTCCACACAACAAACACCTTTCTTTGCCAATTATGGCTATCATCCACGACTTGATACTTTTGATTTTTCAAAAGTTGATAATCCTGCAGCAGAAGATATGACAAATCGGTTGTCAGAGTTACATGCAATAATGAAGACGCAATTGAAGGAAGCTCAAGAATGACAAAAGATAAACGCAGATCTATATCGTAAGGAGCAACCACAACTCAACGTGGGTGATAAGGTATGGCTACTTCGTTGCAATATCAAGACTACTCGACCTTGTGACAAGTTGGACTATCGTAGGCTTGGCCCCTTTTCTGTTTCTGAACAGATCAACCTAGTTGCATATCGGTTACATCTACTGGAGTCAATGAAGATCCATCCTGTAATCCACGTGTCTCTTCTTGAACCATATAAGACAGTGGATATACAAGGAAGAAGACAAATGCCACCGCCTCCTATAGAAGTAGATAATAATGAAGAATTTGAGGTGGAAGAGATATTATACTCAAGGCGGCGCCAAAATAAGCTGGAATATCTTGTTCATTGGCGCGGATATGATATTAGTGAATGCACATGGGAGCCATCTAGGAATCTAGCAAATGCATCAGCTAAAGTCAAAGTTTTTCATCAACGACATCCATCAAAACCAAGATGAAAATCTCTCTTATAAAAGAGATAAGATTGAGGCAAGATAACATTCAATTTCCTATCCTTGTTTGTAACTTCTTTGCATTTGTGACGCTAATTAGATGGAGAGCCAACAACCAGCGGATTCAACTCAAGAACCTTCGTTTGCTGACCTACCGGACGAGACATTACGATTGTCACAACCTTCAAGACGACGCAATCAAGATGAAGATCTTCAAGAACGACATGTTCTTCCTCGAATAGATGGTGAGATACAACGCGTTTGGTATCACGATTTGGGAAGGGACTCCCGATGTTTGGTGATTTTGCTAGAAGTAGGAACAACTCTTGATGGTGTTCCAAATATTCTATTCGAAGGAAGTTACGAAGGCCTCAACAATGATCAAATAACTGGGTGGTCTTCCCGCCATGGTATGGGATACTACCGATGGTTGAGAGGCCCTATCAATCATCTTCGAAGAGAACAGAGATCAGAGTATGTGGCGAATACAATTCGTCGCATCATAGATTTCCTCAACATATGATGACCGCTCCTCGTGGAACTCGTCTCTAGAAGGGGGGGTAATGTCACGGCCATAATCATATAAGCTAATAATTACATATAGAAATAGGTAGAAGTAAGTAAAAGTAGATAAAAGTAAGTTAATTCTATAATATTTAATATAAAAGCTTCCTAGAAACTTCATAGACGCTGCTTTGACTTCATAGGTGTCTTTAATTGACTTTTTGGATTAGAAACGTGGTCAACAAGTTGGCCATGTGCCACACATGTTGTTAGCTTGAAGATCAAGCTAACTATGTGGCCCACACGTAGAAAAACTTGCCTTGTAAGTCAAGGCATGTGTCCTACAAAGTCAACACATATTGGAGGTCCTATAAAACGTCGCCGCGTAGCCCCTAGTTAGATAGTATATATAGAGACAAGAGTGAAGGCTTCTTCACTCTTGTCAACTCCTTTCTTGCTTCTAGTCCAGGTTCAAGAGTCTTTAGTTTCTTGTCTTATGGCAATAGCCAGTCTAGTTTCTCTTTTCAATATACATACTTATTATTCATATTTTGTTACTTTTCTTTGAGTGAAGGCTTACTTGTCTGAACTGTTTTTTCATCGAGTTCTTGTCCTTGACAGAAGACCAAGCTAATTATATGGCGCACACATAAAAAAAACTTGCCTTATAAGTTAAAGCATATGTCCTACAAAGTCAACACACATTGGAAGTCCTATAGAACATCACCACGTAGCTCTTAGTTAGATAGTATATATAGAGACAAGAGTGAAGCCTTCTTCACTCTTGTCAACTCCTTTCTTGTTTCTAGTTTAGTTTGAAGAGTCTCAAGTTTTCTTGTCTTTTGGCAATAAGCTTTTCCAGTTTCTTTTAATATATGTACTTCCTTATTTCTATTTTGTCACTCCTTCTTTGATATGGATTTCATTGGTTTATGCATCATCTTTTAGTTCATGTCCTTGACACTCAATATTATAATGAATTGTATTGATTGCATTTTAAGAATGTTTAATTGATTCAAATAATAATTTAATTGCATAGAAACAATGATTAAGCATCTTGAAGCATAGTTTGCAATTTTAAGTCTACATTTTAAATGTCCATTTAAACATATACTATCACATTGTTTTTTTTTAAGTTTATTCTGATCTTTTTGTTATAAAACTAATTTATTTGCCATCTCATGATTTACTTGATATGCTTTTCTACCTTAGTTTCTCAGAACTATTCCACATCTTCTTCTATTTTGTATAAATACAGATTTTTGATCCAAGAAAAAAACATAGAAATAAAAAAATACAAATTATTTTTTCTAATACTTCTACTTCGATTAAAATCACAATTGACATCAGCATTAGTTCCCACAATTAACTTACATATTCATTTACCTATTCAAATCCCACTAAATGTTTCAACTTAATTTGTGACACAACTTGTATTTTTTTCAAAAGCAAGGAGATTAAATTCTAAATTCCCACACATTAAATAAAAATCAACTCAATCAATAATAATAGCGTAAAGTAGAAGAATGGATTGTATTAGAATATTACCCACTACAAATTACAAAATTACACCTATGCCTTTAAAATCGCTTTACATTTTGGACATAAACCACAAGGAACTTTAAAGGACAAGCTGAGAGCACCACATTCACAGTCCATGCGGCAAAATCAAACAACACGGAGACTTAATCCGGGTATTAATAGTAGCGACAAAAAAGCAAGAATTAGGGTTTGGGGCGCATGGGAATGCCCAAGCCCTACAATACCATCGCTCCCCACGAAAACCGTCTCTTTCAGCATTTCATTGCTGCTCTGCCTTGCAAGCCCAGCACGCAGCCATGTCGCACAGGAAATTCGAGCACCCCAGGCACGGGTCTCTGGGATTCCTGCCCCGGAAGAGAGCGGCGAGGTCGCGTGGTAAGGTGAAGACCTTCCCGAAAGATGTGGCCTCGAAGGAGCCGCACTTGACTTCGTTCCTTGGGTACAAGGCTGGTATGACTCACATCGTGCGCGAGGTGGAGAAGCCTGGGTCTAAGCTGCACAAGAAGGAGACATGCGAGGCCGTGACCATCGTGGAGACGCCTCCCATGGTGGTGGTGGGTTTGGTGGCGTACATCAAGACCCCGCGCGGTTTGAGGTCGCTGAACACGGTGTGGGCTCAGCACTTGAGCGACGAGGTGAAGAGGCGGTTCTACAAGAACTGGTACAAGTCGAAGAAGAAAGCGTTCTCGAAGTACAGCAAGAGGTACGAGAGCGAGGAGGGGAAGAAGGATGTGGAGTCGGAGCTGGAGAGGATGAAGAAGTACGCGAGCGTGATCCGTGTGCTGGCGCACACGCAGGTGAGGAAGCTGAAGGGCATCAAGCAGAAGAAGGCGCATTTGGCAGAGATTCAGGTGAACGGCGGGAGCATCGCGGCGAAGGTGGACTTCGGGTACAAGCTGTTCGAGAAGGAGGTGCCGGTGGACTCGGTGTTCAGGAAGGACGAGATGATCGACATCATCGGTGTGACCCGGGGTCACGGGTACGAGGGCGTGGTGACGCGGTGGGGAGTGACTCGTCTGCCGAGGAAGACTCACAGGGGTCTTCGGAAGGTGGCGTGTATCGGAGCATGGCATCCGGCGCGAGTGTCGTTCACGGTGGCTCGGGCGGGACAGAACGGGTACCATCACAGGACGGAGATGAACAAGAAGGTGTACAAGGTGGGGAAAGTGGCGGACAAGCAGTCGTTTTCGGCGTCGACAGAGTTCGACGTGACGGAGAAGGAGATCACGCCGATGGGCGGGTTCGCACATTACGGTATCGTGAGGGAGGATTATTTGATGATCAAGGGAGGAGTGATGGGACCGAAGAAGAGGGTGATAACACTTCGTCAGAGTCTGTACAAGCAGGTGTCTCGAAGTGCATTGGAGGACATCAAGCTGAAGTTCATCGACACATCGTCGAAGTTCGGACACGGGCGGTTCCAGACATCGCTTGAGAAGGCGAAGGTGTACGGTAAGGTGAAGACAGCAGCATGAGGGACATGTTGAAAACCTGGTAATTGAAAGGTAGCGCGGTTTATTCAGTTTTAGGGTATAATTGAATTTAGGGTTTCAACCCTGTAACTGCCCTATTGACTTGAATCTGAAAAGTCATAATTCGTTCACCTTGAAGTTCGCCCACGTTTGCAATGGCTTTTCACGGGTCTTTAAAGTGATGATATTCTTTTATCCTTGTCATGCTTGGACCCATCATGTCCTTGGTGTTTACAAACTATTTCTAAGAAATTCTCACTTCATCTGTTTTTCCTAGTATGTCTTGTTCTGTGGAATTGAACGTTGAATGACCAATGTGACGTGGGATTGCGGCGAAGCCTGCCTTTCTGATCGTAGGTTACCTTTCTCGTTTGAAATGTGTTCTGGTTTGTGTGAAAGCAATAATCAATCTGTTCAGTATATTATTTCATTTAATTACGTTGTCTAAATCTCAGGCTGTTCCAACCTCCAAGCTGAAGCTCCCATGTTGGAAATATCTGAGCCTAACAAACTCATGGGATGAGGAAAATTGCATATTTTTGTCAGGTTTGGCTTGGTTGCCTGGTACCTTCTGGATTACAGCTAATACTCATCTGCTCCGCAGCTTCCCTGCCTCCACTCACTATTCGATCAAAGCTGGGCTCTTGTGACTGTTAAGCGTTGATTCAATTTGATTGTGTGAACCATATCTTTGGTGGCTGCCAGAATTGGTTTGGGTCGTGGTTTCCAGGTTGGATGTGGAGGTGAGGTTAATGTATCAGCATGAAGGACTTGTCTTCTGAAAAGTGGAGGTTAACTGCAGTGACTCCTAATTAGTAGGGTTCGTGAGAGCTCAGCGAAGAGAAAAAAACCATCAGGTCTTCCAAGTGATCTCACAGGACACTAGAGTGCGTTTCCATCACGAACCATTAAAGCATCAATCTAAGTATTTTCGGGTTGTAACACTTCAATAAACATTGTTTTCACACTGTTAGTTTTGTGAAACTATTACACTGTATATTAATAATTTACTACAAAAACCTCATTTTTGAGAACATCAAATTTTATTTTTTAATTGTGCAAAAGAAAGAAACCTATGAACTTACAGTCTTGGTGTATACAACAAAATTCTTAATCGCACTGCATTAATCCACACTGCACCGTGGTATCATCACTACAGCCACCACATGCGTAGCATCGTGTTCCATCCACCAAGGGGACGCGCCGTCACCCCAGTTTGTCTCCATCATAGACTTGGGTCACCAGCCTGGCGTCACTCATTAGAGGAGGGCTGGAGAGACGACTCTCGTCTCCCAAGTCACTTCTTTACTACCTTAGATCACCCTGTTGCTTCGAGATGTCTAGATACAGGTTCACTAGTGCCACTCGGGACCCACGGGTACAAAAGTATTCCTCAGATCACCTCATGCCTCCTTGTGAGGATTACCTTGATATGAGGAAGGTGGCCTGCCCTGCCATTCCATTGCCACCACATCTTAAACTATTCCTAGGCATTGAGAAATTTGCAACTCTAATCTTAACTCGAGCAAGTGCAAGGTTTAAGTCCATCAGATCCTTACACCCTCTTCCACTTTGGAGGGTCAATGTCCTCATTGACAATTTGATCTTAATATATATATATATATATATATATTGAAGTGGAATTCATTCCTCTTCAAGATGTCTTAGTACAATTTGTATCTTTCACCTAGATAACGTGACAACTCTCTTTTCTACCTAGTTCCTATTTAATTCCTTCACTTGAAATTTTAAGATTACTTCTTTATAAGTGAGATGGGACATTACTGTCCTCTAGCATGATGTATTGTTTGCCCCTAACTTTTCATAAGTTTTCCTCAACTATTGGGTAAGAAAGCCCACATTTTTGGTTGTGGGTCATAAAGACTAGCATCTTTATTTAGACTTGATTTGGATGTTGAATTCCTTAATTGAGCCTCGTCTCACCTCACTACCCTTCTCCTACCTTATGGAGGTGATTTGGAATCACTCAATGAGAAATCTATTTAGGAAAGACCAACCAATTTGGTTTTGTTGCTTAAAGTCTTGTATTCGCCTCATACAAGCTTCTTAAGGTTGTCTTCTTCAAAATCACCTCAACTTGGAATTCATTCAAAATCTTTCATCACGTTGAAAAACTTATACCTTATTTTTTTGACGTGCGCATCATCACTGGGCTTTTTTGAGTCTTGGTACTCTCACTTATGTTTTTTCCATCGTGAATCTAAAACCTCCTGATTTCTATCTTACTCCACATCTATTATAAATGTGTTGCATAGGATTTTCTCTATATTTTATCCTCCCATTTGGAGTAAAGATGCCATCATCTTCAAGTTTGTCATGCCATTCTCCTATTCTTACAACATGAAAAAATCTTAATTCTTGTATTGCTTCTACAAGGATCTTACCTTCCTATAATCATTTTTTTTTTTTTTTTTTTTTTTTTTTTTAATTTATTCATTGAAAGCAATTATCATCTCTTATACATGCTTCAAATTTCTCTCGTTGATCTACTGAAACGCATGTGAAAGATAATCCTTAAAGGTGCATAGATATTGAACTCATCTAACATTGGTCCGCTTTTTGTTAAATATCACTAATATTTGATCCATAATTTGATTCCACATCTCCTTTTGAGGTAGAATATACACCTTTTTTTTTTTTTTATAGAAGCTTCTTTCATCATCCACATATTTCTTAAGGATTTTCACATGGAAGACCAGACTACACTTCAATCTCTTCAAAATGTCTAATACATAGACATTTTTGTATAATATTCTTTTGATTACATAAGGTCTAGCTTATTTTTGGGACTACTTGACAGTGAGATGCATAAAGTAGGTGAAGTTGTTCATTCAATCATACTTTTTCTTCCCTCTTATATTGCACATTCTGCCTATACTTATTGGCTTGTTTCTTATATGTACTTTGAACCACTTCTAGTTGTATTCTAGCAATATTCAGAATGACTTCTCTTTGAGCTATCCACTTCGCTCCTTCTATTGAGTAGAATCCCAAAGTGTGATTGCTACTTTGCCTAACTCCAATCAAGTCAATAGATTTGAATGTATCAAAGCCGTGAGCCACTTAGAAAGGTATATAATTTAAAGACTCATTCCAACTAGTATTATAACTAAATTTGATTACAAAGAGCCTCTTGATCCAATCTTTATGCTGCTTGTTATATAATATTTTAGGGATATTGAAAGTGTGCCATTGATTCTTTTAGTTTGGCCATCTCTTTGTGAATGCCAAGCTGTGGTAATGATGATCTTGGACCCTAAATTTTTCATAACATGGTGCCAAAATAATTTTGTAAAGCAAACGTCCTTGTCACTCACAATCAAAGTTCGCACCCCATTCAACAAGATCCAAAAGTCAAAGAAGAGGCTCGCCATCACATACAAAGCAGCCTATAACTTATCTTTGGAATTTCTTCGGAACATAGCCATTACTACAAATCTTGTTGTCTTAGTGAACTTATCAAATATAATAAGTATGACATTGGCTTCACTATATTTTGGTAAGCTTGTTATGAAATCCATTGATATATTTTTATAAAAAAAAATAAAAGTAGTAATAGTTCTAATAATCCTACCTTTGCTTGTGTAGAGTGCTTGTGTAGAGTGCTTGTTTCTTTGGCACATTAGACAACTTCTTATATACTATTCCACGTCTTTCCATATAGAAGGCCAATAGTAAGACCATGCCACATTTCCTAACATAGACTTTATACTTTTATGTCCTATGTATGGAGAGTCATATAACTTGAACATGACTTTCTTTCTTCATTTGCCTTTAAAAACATAAAGTTGTGTTTGCTTAAACCAAATAAGTCCATTTTTTATCAAAGAGACTTCCATAAGCTTCCTTTGTTCCCTTGTGGTTTTAGTTGAAGCAAACACTTTGTTGATATTTAGTGCATCCTCATCCGTTTCATAGGCTAACTTTATACCTTTGATAAAGGAGGAGTCATCACAATAGACAATTGTTTTGAGTGTCATTGTATCGTGGAGTTTTTCTCTCATAAATTCTTCTTTTCTACTTAGCATATCTAGCACTAAGTTACCTTTGCTTGGCTTGTGAATAAACTTGAAGTCCACCGAGATGATCATGATTGTCACGGACACACAAATACAGACTCGAGATCTAACAAGAAGTTCAAGAAGAATTGGCAAGAACTAGATTAATCAGATGGATACAAGAACAACACCAGAGAAGTGAGCTAGAGCTCCAAGAGATAAGTTGTCGAGACTGAAGAACTCTTCAGCCTCGATTCCAATATATACTCCTATTTAGGAAGCTTCTCAAACAACTTCTACCAACTAAGAAGCTTCTAGAAGGTTCAAGAGACTTGCTTCTAGAAGGTTCCAGAGACTTGCTTCTAGAAGGTTCCAGAGACTTGCTTCTAGAAGGTTCTAGAAACTTGTCTCTAGAAGGTTCTAAGGACTATGTCCCTAACAATATCATACCGTCTCAACTCTTTTAGAGATGTTGGTGCTTTTGACATGAAATATTTGAAAGAGATGTTATCGAAGTAGACTTTGGCTCTCCCACCACCTAAGTAGTACTTCCAAGTCTTCAAGTAATGTACTATCGCAAATAATTCCTTCTTGTAAGTTTAATTTTGTAACAATTTATAAAATTAAAAAGAAACATGATCCAACTACCTTACATTTATTCTTTAACTATTGTAATTCATATCATTCATATATACCTTGAAATAGTTTGTACTATAACTATTAATATTAATTTTATTAAATTATGATAATAATCAAGATAATTATTTATAAATAGATAATTAAAAAAACTAAAATAAATGGTGTAAATCTAATATTACATATTAAATAAAAATATTATGATATAGTCTCAAAATTAAAAATAAATTAACTTGTTAAATTGGTATATTTAACAAAAAATTGTATGATGTAAGAAAATTTCAAATAGTCTAAGATATATCCATCTAAAATAACCGTCTTTAGGTGATA